TTTGGGTAGTAATTTTTGGGTAGAAAATAACAGAAATGACCAAAGCAGCCTCTTTTTTGCTATTTCCTGGCCTTGCTTAAATTCTCATGACATGCAAAGCTGTACTCCGTGTAGTTTTAACGTGGCAAATCAATAGGAATAAGTGTATATAGCAAGCATACAAGCCAATCTAGCATATTGGCAGGGCACATCCCGGCGCCTCACCTCCCGCCTTCCTTTCTTGGATAAGCGTCCTTTAAGCGCCCCTCCAAATTGCGCCCTGCCAGAAACCCGCTTGGCCAGATAGCGCAGCCCGACGAGAACATGCGTTTGGGCCATTTTTGATAAATAGTGTTATAACTTCACTTTGTGATGGAATTTCTAACCTCTGCTCAATAGGAATTGTAGCTACAGGTCCTGGCAACACTTCCCACTGGGCCAAATCCCAGAAACCTTCATGCCGTCGTCGTCATTACGGCCGTCGTCGTTGGCCGGCGTCTGCTTACATAAGGGGCGCCCGTTCCTGGTGAGTCGTGACCTCTACCTTACAGCTTCTCTACGACTCCCTCGTACCATTCAACCACCGCACCCTCGACACCATTGGCCTTGAGAAGAGCGAGAATGTCTGGGGAAGCGTCGTGTGCGTCCTCGGCGGTGGTGGTAGTGGGATCAGTCAATCCAAATCACGACGGGACCGAGAGTGTTCTTTCCATCCTCGTCGTGGGTGACGAAACGAGCTGTATTGATGGCTGAGTAGCGAATCTTCCGAGCTTTCAAGAACTCGCAGATCTGGGGAGCGACAGTGTCCCAGACAGCGTTGAGCGGCGTGTCGAAGACTCCATGGGCGGTCTTGGTAGGGAGATGAGGGTGTCTGCCCTTGGGGACAGGGAAGGGATTTTCGAGGAGATCCGAGCGGTAGAGGAGCTCGGGATGGTCGGAAGAGATACCGTTGTAATAGGTGGTCCTCTCCCACTCCGAGAGAATGTATGGGGCGACAGGCGGTGGCATCTGAGGCGATGGTGAGTGCAGATACGCCTCGTTAAGGGTTGGCGAGGCGGGTGAGGAAAGGGAGGTACGCGAAAAGACTCGTCTAGGAGTTAGGGGTGCTCCGTCATCGTCTTTATTGCAGCCGGCGCCCCATCTCAATTTATTCACCACCTACACGCTGCACAGAGCACGTTTACACAAATCCGTCACCTACGCAGCCCTCTATCTATTACAACGACCAAAAGCAAGATTTCCTGCCGCGCGAGGCTCGTCCGGCCACCGGCTGTCTATCTCCGAGTTCATACTTTCCTCCAAGGTGAAGAGGGAGTTCAAGGGACCAGGTGCGTATCCCACATACGCTGCTCCCTCGCCAGCTCCTTCCCCCATGCCGTTGACCACCCCATACATGAACATGACCCGCATGTCACCGTCATTTATCAGCGGTCGTGTGCTTTCGGCGTCGCCACCGAAGCCGACGCCGCGTCCCCCCGGGCCAATGGACTCCTCCGTGCCACCGGCGCCCCAAACAGTGGCCGCTCACCTCCATCCCCAGGAACTCCGCCGACCCTTGAAGCATCACACTCGACGTCGACATCGCCGGCGTCATCCGTATCGCCACCGACACCGCCTGGCGTCGAGAACCTCACGGCCAAGATCGCGACACCCGCCGGATCGATGTCCATGTCCATGGAAGCGGTGTCGTAAACACCTGTCGCAGCATCGCTCGCATGCGCAGCCGATGCCTCAGCCAGTGCAGAGACTCTTCGCAAAATGCGACCTGTTCGCAGCCGCGACGATCGACGTTTCCGCTCACTACGCCTTCGCTGTCAGCAGTTTGGTAGGCACGCGACCGACGCGTGCGCCAGGACGTTTCGCCGCCGGACGCCCTGCCAGTTGCATCTTGTCGGCCGGTACATACTGGTATGTTGGCAGGCACGCGGCCGACGCGTGCGCCAGTACGTTTCGCCGCCGAACATCCTGGCAGCTGCATCTTGGCGAGCAGTATACCAGCACATGCTGTGGCAGGCACACAGCTCACGCGTGCGCTAGGGCACCTAGCGGCCCCTCTACTCTACTGTATTCGCTGAAGAGCGCTCTCGGTCCACTTCTGCCGTACCTGCTCATGTTCTCGCATGAGCGGGGCACCGTTTGTGACTTTCACGACACTGCAATGCAGGTCTACATTGCCATAACAATCACTGACAGCCTCTCGTCTCTGTTGGACTAGGAACCTAAGTACAGCAGTAGACTAGGTAGATAATAGAATATCAGATTTTATGCACCACGGACGCTGTGTAAAACACTACAAAAGAATGGATAACAGAGACCTTACACATTTTGTGAGCAATCCATGCGTAATAGCTGGTAATTACTGTCCTTGCTGATCTACCCAGCGGGCGTGTTTGCGGACACCGTGTCTGGGCCGGAAAATTCATGTTCGGGCGCCAGCGCTTTTGTTGAGTTTGCCTGTCCGCATGGCAGTTACCGCGGAAGACTGCAAATGTAATAAACCTGTGTATCTTTGGTGGTGAGAACTCGTGACGTTTGTGGACTCACCGGCTATAAAACGAATGCGAGGAGGCTCTACCATGAAGCAAGGAGAGCAAAATTACATGGTTGATCCAACACAAGAGGTGCCATCGATGAGTTCAGCCACAGGCCTAAGCACGAGCAGCCCCGAGAGAATACCGGAACATATTCAATTTGAGGCGCGAATCTCCCGGGTTTACTGTAGCAGGGTAACGCCAGCTGCCCGATGCAGTTAGGACAGGCCCCACCGGAGCTTCGTGTCTGCAAAGCCAATCCAAAATTCGTTTGTTACATGGCTTCAGTGCAGGTAATGGGGCTGAAATATCTGGAAGACTGGGCGAAAGCCACCTTGAGCTAAGACCAGAAGGTCGCAGCATGGCGAGATCTCAATGTGATCATGCATATTCTGCCGAGTAGAGAAGACATACTATCTGAGGAATCAACACGGTGCTTGCAACGTGCCATGCAAGCTCTTTACATCAAAGTGGACACAACTCAACACTGATCGAGCCGTGCTCTGCACAAGCAAACTGGTGGAGGAACTCTGCACGGTGTAACTCGGATCGCTGCCTATATGTGAATGCAAGCAGTGATTCCGCGACGGCGGCGAGGCTCCCAGTCTGCTGGACTGGCGGCAGTTCCATCAGCGGAGCTTCGACTCATCTACCCGTCGAGTGACTGGCACGAGTCTGGGCTTATCATCCACGCGTTTTCTCAGATATGAATCGTTTGAGACTTACGTGTAGCCAAAACCCTGATATCGTAGTAACTTACGAGGGGAAAAGCCTGTGGCTGTTCCCCCACATCCTCAGTGCGTTCATCACACTGAATTTGACTGCAGAAGAGCAAGGCATATTTCGAACGTTCGTCCATTCCGAACGACTGTTCTTTCCGCGGTGCCTCACACTTACGAAATGCTCTTCAATCTAGAGTACAGGTATGGTAACTTCTCGAAAATGCGTTTCCCCGGTCTTGACCGCAGCACCCATGGCCACCTTAATGAGTCACAATGTCTTTATAAGGGTGCAGAGGAGGAAGTCTTTCATTTGATTCTGGATGGCGATGAGATAGCCAACGAGATGCTACAGCAACCGATCGCGCAATAACGTTGGTCACGCCGTATTTGAATGACGAGACCGAGGGTACTGTATACTATCAAGAAGAGGCGGAACGCGTGCGGACCATTTATCATCGCTACCACTGGTCAGCTTCGTGTGTCACCTTATGTTTTACCCGGTGGTAGAACGACTCTCGACGACAAGTAATCATGTCAAGGTTCGTGATGCGCGTAACGTCCCGGCACGTCCTAGCTGAGTAATGTCGACCTAATTCGAGCTTCGGCATACGCACTAGGTACAATTACGCGTATGCGCGCATTTAGTGAGCGGCTGCCCTCTGTGCCGAGACGCACCAGGGACGGCGCGCTCACCCCTGCAGGTCGCACATGTGTAGCTAACGGCATCGAGCGGCAAAATGTAGTTGTCCCTGCCCCACTCGTCCAGAAGGCAGGAAGGAATCAGGTGTGAACGGTCGCCGCTGGCACTGCAGCAGAGATAGTGCGGCCGAAAATAAACTTTCGCGCCACCCACAGCCGAAAGGCAATCTTGCAACACCATTTGAGATGCAGACTTCGAGAAGCAGCGTCGCTGGCCCCATTTTCCAGTTAATATTGCTTTATGCGAAGGATCTGCATGGGATTGACGGTGAATCGTGCCTCGGGAATCCGTGCCGGTGTCGGAGAAAACTTGGGAGAATGCGCGAGTTCAGTAAGCTCCGTGTCGTTCGACAAGGGAGGGAGAGACGAGGATGAGAGCCTTAGGGCAGCAAGTAGCAGTATTGCGCGCATTGATAGCAGGAGCCGGCGGTAATGTGCGAGATTACGCCGTTATCAGGTGTGACGCAGCCCGCGGCGCGCATCGTGAGTCCTGAGTGGTCAAGAGCTCTAGCACGGACTTGTCACGGCTTCGGCGTACAAGACCGCATCAACATTTGTGCACCAGGAGATTCTTGATGATAGCGGAGGAAGTATGCTGCACTCATAGATTAGCCTTCACGAGAACTTTACGTAGGACTGGCACGTACCTACTCCACAGAAGCAGGGTATAACACGAGAAGGTACGATGCGAGCTTCTCATCTCATGACGGATGATCCTTGAGCAGATCTCTGTCACACTGGGTCATGGACGGCGAGTAATTTGCCATCTAGACGGGGCGGGGCATGCATAATCAAATACTGTACCCCGGACAACACCGAGCGAGGCGGGACGAGCCCATCTTCTGCGATGCGTTTAGACGGACGTGGCAGGGTACCACACCAGCCAGGGCATGCCTCTCCGCCCTGAGAAGCCGAAAGAGCAGATGATGAGTGCTGCATGCCCACATCTGCGAGAACCACTGTGATCACGCACCGAATAGCTTTCAGACGGCATCATGTCCTTGAATGGATAGCGCAGATCCGCATTCGCACCGAATCCCGGACATAAGCATGCGTAAAGCTCGACATATGTGCCGTAGTCGTCGTATCGATGCCGGCCGTGATATGCACAGCCCACGAAACGAGTCAAGGGCAGGGGCTGGACAGCAGGACGTAATCCCACTCAATGACAGCAAATTTCCGAGTAGAGCGGAAGTGGCGCCTAGGGGATGGAGCGAAGGCTTGCGAGAGTTCGACCGTCGTTTTCTTGACTACCGACTTGCGCTTCTGTTACAAGGAGCGTCGCTGCGGCTACGAATGAGATAGGGGGAATCATTGGCCGTCTGGCGCAGAGAAGAGTGGCAGAGGCGTTACGGACAACTTACGTTTGCTGCCGCGCCATACAGCTGCCGACGGAGGGCTGCGAGCGCAGGTGGGTGCCGAAATGCGAATATGCCGTCCACAGCATCCGACAGCGCCATGTAACACGGCGACCCGCGCGGCCGTGAGGCATCCCATCTTCTCGTCAACACCGGTTTCTTGGGCGCAATACTTACACGGATAGTGTCCACCCGTCAAAGAACGTTTGGCATCCGGCAGTTCCCATAAACCTAAAGGCGCGGGAGCCAGGAACGTGATCCGGGACGGCGACGGCAAGCTGAGACGTTGCGGCATTGGCCGACGTAGCGTGATGCCGGAGGGCCGGGTTCCCACGGAGCGTGGTACACATGCTGACGAAAGTGAATGGTCGTTGGTCGGTAGCAATGAACACATGAAACATACGTGTACTTACCTCACCGCCGCGCTCAATGATGCGGACCCGTCGGAAAATATTGGAACACTCCAAACAAACAAAGCTTCTGAGACAATCGAGGATGCTCGTGCACGAGAGTCCCGGGCTTTGAGAAACGTGCTTATTTGCGTAGTGCACATGTTAATGCGGGCATCGTCCTATAGATACTATTTGGACTCACCAAAGGTCGTCTATCGAC